TTTACATTACAGGATCTGTCCTTTTTCTAAGGGGGGCCGGATGTCAATGCTGCTAATATTGAATATTCTTGCTCTGACAAAATATGCAGAACTGTCTGGTACTTTTAGAGTTTATTCAGATGAGAATGAGGGAGAAGAGAAAAGCCCGCAAAAGGGAACGGAAGAGAACCTTTGCCCTTCAAACTAATTGGAGAACGTAAATCATGACAGCAAAATAAGGAAGAGGAAATGCTAGCAAAAATAACTGCTTGGGGGGGTGGAGATTTCAGATCTTAGCATCCTTTCATCATGCTGTGCCGACATTTTGTCACATGAATAAAAAGACTTTTTAGGATAAAATGCCTGGAACTTCTTTGAAGTGTTTCATTAGTCGGAACCTTGACAGCTTAATTTCACAATGAACAAAAACAAATAGTAACTGAACTACCAAAGTTTGGTTGCTGACCTCTGAATATCTCCACCTAATTTCAGAGACTATAACAAGGGATATTTTATACATAGGTTTCTTATGACAATTTCTTTTTTAAAAAAGTTTTTTCTGTTTTATTATTTTCTTTGAATTCTTTAAAAACACCTTTTTGTGATAAGTGAAAATATGGAAAAAGTCAGTAGTCATGGTTGCAAGTGGAAAGCACTGACATAATGATATCACACAAATGCATATGCCAATATTTTTCAGGGAAAATGTTATTTTGTTTATTGCAAATGTCAACTATTTCATGTTTAATTAAATATACATATTTCAGTATCTCACCGCAACAGACAAGCGGGAATCTCATGAGATTAAGGGATGGGGGTAAATTGATCCATTTTTCCAAACAACTTGAATTATGTACTAAATACGGATGGACAACAGCATGCATTACATATCCAACAGACGATAGCCTACATATTCAAGATAAATAGAGCATTCTATCTGCAGCTTACAAAATCAGAACAAATGGCCATTAAGAACTAGAAGCTTATATTTAAATATTAGCCATAATAGTGAAGCAATTCTCTTTTCTACATCCACAGAGCCTTTAAAATGACACTGTTTTTTCAAGGCATAACTTTTAAGAGTTATTAACAGAAACAGAATAACAGTTGGAAAGGACCTTGGAAGTCTTGTAATTCAACCCCCTATCGAAGCAGGAGACTCTATAACATTTCAGATAAATGTCTGCCCAATCTCTTCTTAAAAGCCTCCAATGATGAAGCACCCACAACTTCTTAAGGCAAGCCCTTCCACTGATTAATTGTTCTAACTGTCAGGAAATTTCTTCTTAGTTCTAGATTGGTTCTGTCCTTGATTAATTCCCAGCCATTGCTTCTTGTTCTGCTTTGATAAATAGGTTGACCCCTCTTCTTTGTGGCAGCCCCTTAAATACTGAAACACTGCTATCATGTTACCCCAGTCCTTCTTTTCACTAGACTAGACATACCCAATTCCTGCAACTGTTCTTCATATTTTAGCCGCCAGCCCTCAATCATCTTTGTTGTTCTTCTCTGCATTGTTTCTAGAGTCTCAATGTCTTTTTTTATATATATATCATGGTGACCAAAACTGGATGCAATATTTCAACTGTGGTCTTATTAAGGCATTATAAAGTTGTACTAACACTTCACATAATCTGGATCCTATCCCTTTGTTAATGCACCCTGGGGCTGTTTCAGCTTTTTTGGCAACTGCAGCACACCGCTGGCTCAAATTTAAGTGATTGTCTACTAGAACAGGGGTCCCCAACCCCCAATCCGCGGACCAGTACTAGGCCGCAGCATGCCAGCAACCAGTCCGCACAAACAAGCAAAGCCCCATTCACGGTATGTAGGCAGCACACAAAACCATGCACCCTCCGGTCCATGGAAAAATCTCTCTCCACGAAACCGGTCCCTCTGGGGACCTCTGTACTAGAACGTCTAGATCCCTCTCAGTTATTATATTGTACTAAGTACCACCTTTCTATACCACCTTTTACTTGCCTAATTGTAGAACCTTACATTTCTCACCACTGAACTTCATTTTGTTAGATAGAAGCTTATCTTGTGGAATGTTGGTTATTCCTGTCAGCTTGGTGTCATCTGCAAATGTGATGAGTTCCTCTTCTATCCCCTCATCAAAATTGTTTATAAAGATATTAAAAAGTACTGGACTTAAGATAGAGCCTTGAGATACCCCATTGTTTGAAGATACAGTTCCATTAAGGTTGAGAGTGGTTGGTCAGCCAGTTACTAATCCATCTGGCGATGATTATTATTATTATTTATTTCCTAAGCTCCTTAGATAATTTGTAATGAACAAGTAATTTAATTCAACCACTTAGATACTTACGCATTTTTCAATTTACTTTTTCTTGAGCTGCCCACAGAATTTGTTTAATAATTATTTATTAAATTTAATAATCTATACCTCAGAAGGTGATGGGGGTTTTTTTCTCCAAAATCAGTAGGATTACAAATTTACTGATAAGTACTATACATAAATTGATACATATGTTATTTTCTGTATCTACTTTTTCTCTGTGAAAAATTTTAAAGTCAAATTTATCTTATTTTTGGAACTCTATTATGAAGGATAAAAGAAAATTGTCCATTAAATATTATTAAGGGAAACTCCACATAGTTTTCTCGATAACAGTACAAAAATGGTTTGCCATTCCATTCTCTGGAATATATTTTTAAATTAGTTCTGCTAAAGCTTATCCCAAACTACTTTATAAACCTATGATAAAAATCTGTTTAACTTACTTCTGGATTATATCAAAGACAAATCTATATAGTAAAAAATAAAATGTAAAAAATGAGATCGATTAAGCATACCATTATCTCTTCAGTTATATGATTAATTCTAACATGGCCATTTATTAGTCTTGCAATCTAAACTAGCCATTTTGCAAGCCAGAGTTAAAATTCCTAGCACTGGGATAACAGAAGAAGTTGCACCATTATTCACGAACTAACATTTGCTTCCATATCATTGTTACTGCATTTCTACACTTCTAAGGTGAACCATAGTTAAGCAGAATAATAATGATAAGAACACCAAATGGGCAGAATCATGTCATTTGTTTAATTTCACAGTTTCTTTGCATGTTATGAAGAAGTCCAGAAATATTTTAATGTCAATTAAAGTATACAACCATTTGTCTAGCTGCCCTTTTATGCTCTATTTGAAATATTAAAACACATTTTACTGCAGCAAAAAAAATGAATAAATCATTTTTCTTCATATATCAACTTTTACTATTATGTACTAACTTGACATTTTTCTTTCATTTTCTTGTACTATGAATTATTATTATAAATTGTAATTTGAGGAGTTTTATTGTATCTATGATTCTTTTTCTAAAAACTTTTCCAGTTGGCATAGTAAGATAAAAATATTTCAATACAACCAGTCCTCCACTCACGATCATAATGGAACCTGCAAGTCATGGTCAATAAGCAAGGTGATCATGTGATCGCCTCATTTAATGGCCTATACATCTGCTCTCCCCATGTAGTAATTAAGCAACTGCACAGATCATTAAGCAGAAGATGGGGTGCCTCAGGGATAAGGAAACCCCTGGAAGTCCCAGCACAAGCCCAGGCCCACCTGTACCAGGACTCCCAAGGCATCCCCTAAACCAGTGTTTCTCAACCTTGACCATTTTAAGGCATGTGGACTTCAACTCCCAGAATTCCACAGCCAGCAATGCTGGCTGTGGAATTCTGGGAGTTGAAGTCCACATGCCTTAAAATGGTCAAGGTTGAGAAACACTGCCCTAAACCCAAGGCAACTTGTGCTCCACTTCCTGTCACTCAGGGATCCCGCAGTCCTTAGGCCTGATTTTTGCCCCCCTCCCCAGCATCACCACTGGATCTCCACAGAACTTGGTATTCCTTCCCATCTCACCAGGCCCTATTCCTTCCACCCCCCCCCCCTATTTGCAGGCACCTCTACTTTCCTAATAAATAAACCCTTTATTATCAAAGTATAACATGTATAAGTGAAATTGGCTGTGTCTCCAGAGTGTTCTGGAGAGCTCCAGAGCTCACATTAGGAAAGCAAAGAAGATCACTCTGTTCACAGTTTACTCTGCCTTTCTAACATGATCTCTGGAGTGCTTTAAAAATATCCAGATGTGTTCTGAGGAAACAGAGCAGTTTGGTCTGTTCCTAGGTTGCATCGTTTCATTCTGGAAGCAATGTTTAGAGCAGCCACAATTCCTTGCAACCATTCCAAAAATAGTAGCTGTTTCCAGGAAACAGCCATAAGATCCAGGAAAGCTGAGGGGCAGAATGCCTGCTTGTCTTTCCTAACACAAGCTCTGGAGGTCTTTGAAAGGTAAATCAATGATCCGTGACAGAAGGTGGGGAATCCAGTGGGGTGAGAAGCAGACTCAAGGTTTCTGGGGATCCAGCAGGGCAGGACAGGGAGGAGGAGACAAGTGGAAGGGCTGCTGCAGCATCCCTGCAGTTGGTGGTAAAGGTGAATGAACCCAAGGGCACTGCAGTGGCTGTAACTTCGAAGCTTGGTCATAAGTAGCTTTCAGAGGTGGGAGGTATGTATCATAACTGAAAGGTAGCTAAGCAATTCCTCATAACTCAAGAACTTCATGTAAAATGTATAACAAATAGGGCCAACAAAATGGAAAGAAACTAGGGAGATTTAACTATTTTATCCCCATTTTTATAAGTAACTCAAGGCAGTAAACATATCTAATACTCCTTTATCTTCCTATTTTCCCCTCAACAACAACCTTGTAAGGTGGGTTGAAAGAGAGTGACTGACCAAAATTACCTAGGCAGCCTGCATGCCTAAGTGGAACACAACTCACAGTCTTCCATGTTCTAGCATGGTGCAAGACAGAATTAATGCAGGGAATGGTTAAACACATTTAACGTATTACTTTTATATACAAGAATTGAAACAATACAATTCAAAACGTGCTGTGTTTTAAAATCAGCCGTATTTTTCCAGAAACAATTATAAATTACTTTACAATTATGTACTGACAAAATAATGCTTATGATCGTACCTTTATCTTTCTTGAAATCTAAAGCATCTTCCTTATCTGTCACTATTTCTTTCATGTTGATTATACTTGGATGATTTAGTTGTCGAAGAATCTTTATTTCCCTAATAGCTGTAATAGGAAAACCTTCTTTTTCATTATCCAACCGTACTTTCTTTAATGCCACCATTTCCCCTAGGAAAATATTAGTCAAACTATTATTAGCAAAAACTAAAATACTGACATATCCAGAAAATAATTTCATATTATAATTATATAGAATAGAATATAGAAATAGAAAAAAACTACCTTGTACTAACTAATAAATTACAGTATTCTGAATTAAAAATCTCTACAAGCTCTATATTTATCAAAATATGAAGTTCACCAAGGCCTTTCATTTTATAAAATAATATAATCTTTATTGTCATTTTTTTTACTGTGGGCACACATTTTACTATGGCACACATTAAAAATGAAATTCTGCTGCCTGTTCTCAAAAGTGTACACATATATAAAAGACATATAAGCATGCTGTATACATACATATGTATATACCTACACCCTCAGATATAAATACATATAAATATTAATCACTGTCCATCTTGAATATACAGCGGAAAGAGGAAGTTTGAGAATTCACAAGGCTGATACTGTATGGAACAAAACTGTGACTGAATCTGGATGTTCTGCTTCAGATACCATGAAGCCTCCTCCCAGAAGGTAACAAGGAAAACAGGTCATGAAGAGGATGTGTAGCATCCCAGAGAATGCGGATCCTGCTCAAGAAATGCTTTTATGCTACAGTGGGACAAAAAAGTATTTAGTCAGCTACCAATTGTGCAAGTTCTCCCACTTAAAAAGATGAGAGAGGCCTGTAATTGTCATCATAGGTAGACCTCAACTTCGAGAGACAAAATGAGAAAACAAATCCAGACAATCACAGTGTCTGATTTGGAAAGAATTCATTTGCCAATTATGGTGGAAAAGGGGCGTTGACTTACCTGAACGCCTTTTCTCAGCACGGAGATGGATAATCCACGCAGTGGGTTGAGACTGTATTCCTGGCCAATCAGATCAGTCAGCCAAAGTTGCCACGCCCCGTCCTGGACCATGATCCTTAGTCTTGACTCGAGCACAGCCATTGACTGACAGTAAGACGTTTTGGCTCCACTAAATATACCCTATTATCCTAGTCTATAAGGGTGGGTGTGGATTATCCATCTCCGTGCTGAGAAAAGGCGTTCAGGTAAGTCAACGCCCCTTCTCCAGCACTGGAGATGGATAATCCACGCAGTGGGACATACCAAAGCCTATTGTCCCTTGGGTTGGGGAATAGACTGGTCCCGTGTGCAACTTTGGTCTAGAACCTGCTGGAGAACCCTCCTACCGAAGGAGGCCTCTGCAGAGGAGTACTTGTCGATTTTGTAATGGCGAATGAATGGAGAGGGCGAGGCCCAAGTGGCTGCCCTGCATACCTCTTCAATAGAAGCCTGCATGGCCCATGCTGCTGAGGTGGCAGCACTCCTTGTGGAATGGGCCGTGATATGCTTGGGGACTTGCAAGGACTCCGCCTGGTATGCCCCAGTGATGCATGCCCTAATCCACCTACCGATGGTAGAGGACGAGACCTTCGGCCCCTAGTAACGGGGTGGAAGGATATGAAAAGTGCTTCCGAGCGTCGGAATTCCGCTGTGCGCGAAATGTAATGTCTTAGTGCCCTTCGTACATCCAAGGTGTGCCATTGTTGCTCCAGGGGATGAGCTGGGTTTGGACAGAAGTCTGGTAGGACTATTTCCTGTGATCTGTGAAAAACGGAGTTGACCTTTGGAATGAATGGTCTATTCTTAGGACTACCTTGTCCCTGTGAAAATGGCACAGGTCCTTCCTCATTGAGAGAGAAGCTAACTCGGATATCCGCCGAGCTGACGTGATGGCTACCAAGAATGCTACCTTATGGGTCAGATAGCGAATGTCACATGTTTTGAGTGGTTCGAAGGGCGCTCTGGTAAGAGCTTGTAGTACTCGTGGTAGTTCCCACGATGGATACCTGTGCACGGTTGGCGGTCTGATGTTCGCAGCCCCCTTGAGGCAGGATCGTATTAAGGGATGCTTGCCCAAGGATTCACCGGGGCTGGCAGAAAGTATAGTTGAGAGGGCAGCGATTTGCCTGCGCAGCGTGTTTGGCGAGAGGTCCCTCTCTAGGCCATCTAGTAAAAATTCTAGGATCTTGGGAATTGTGATCCCTTCGAGTAACAATTCCTGTTTAGAGCACCATGATTGGAAGCTTCTCCACGTGGCCTCGTAGATACGGTTCGTGGAGGGGCGCCTTGATGCCTGTATGACCCTAATTACACCCTGTGAGCAAGCCCCCTTGGCTAAAATTGACCGTTCAAGAGCCAGACGGCTAGTTGTAGCCATTGTGGCTCTGGGTGGGAGATCTCCCCCTGCTTGAGGGAGATCCTCTCCGGAGGAATCCGCCATGGATTCGTGCGGGAGAGACTCCTCAAGTCTGCGAACCAAGGTCTCCTTGGCCAATAAGGGGCCACAAGGATTACCTCGGCCCTTTCCCGCAGAATCTTGCGTACTACCGCCGGAAGGAGAGGTAAGGGTGGAAACGCGTACAGGAGCCCCCTTGGCCATGGGCTCCGTAACGCGTCCGTCTGCTCTGCTCCCTTGGATGGGAATCGGGAGAAGAAGCGAGTTAGGTGGGCATTGGAAGGAGAGGGAAAAAGGTCCACCTGGGGAAGCCCGAAGCGGTGACAGACCTCCCTGAAGATCCTTGGGTGTAGTTGCCATTCCGAGTGATCTATTGTTGATCTGCTCAACAGATCTGCTTGGATGTTTGCCTCCCCCGATATGTGGTCGGCCTTTATGGAGGCCAGATTTTGTTCCGCCCAGGCCCCCAGTAGGAAGGCCTCGGCCGAGAGCGAGCGAGAGTGTATGCCCCCCTGACGGTTTATGAGGGCCTTGGCTGTCACGTTGTCCGTCAGGACCAGTACGTGCCTGCCTTTTATGCTGCTGTGAAAATGCCTTAACGCTAGGTGAATAGCCCGCAGCTCGAGCCAGTTTATGTTGTGTCGGAGATCCACCGCTGACCAGCGGCCCTGTGTCCACTTGGTCCCCAAGTGGCCTCCCCAGCCGAATAAGCTCGCATCTGTTGTGACTACTACTCTGTCTGGTTCCCTGAAGGGGGACCCCCTGAGGAGAGCTGGAGATAGCCACCACCTGAGGGAGTGTCGTACTCTCAGAGGTATGCCTACCCTCTTCCGGGATGCACTGATTGTTGTCTCTGAAACGGGAGCATGAACCATTGCAGTTCTCTTGAGTGCAGCCTTGCCCAAGGAACTATTGCTATGGTCGATATCATCTTCCCTAGCAGCTGGGAGAGGCAGACCAGCGTCACTGATTGACCGCGGCTTACCTGTTTCACGGCTTTCTTTATGCTGCTGAGGCGTTCCTGTGATAGGTACACCTTGCATTCCTTTGTGTCTATGACCGCTCCCAGATGGAGTATTCTCGTAGTTGGGGTTAGATGGCTCTTTGGAAAGTTCACCGAGAAGCCGTGGTCCTGCAGCATTTTTATCACTAACTTTAGGTCCGCCCGAGACTGCTGGGCGGACGATGACTGGATTAGAATATCGTCCAGGTAGCACTGGACTCTGACTGGTACGTTTCTTAGGTGTGCTGCCAGAACCGCCAGAATCTTGGTGAACACCCTGGGCGCTGATGACAGGCCGAATGGAAGTGCCCTGTATTGAAAATGGTGCCCCCTGTAGGCAAACCGTAGAAAGCGGCGGTGAGCCAGGGATGTGCAAGTATGCCTCCGTGAGGTCGATCGATGCCAGAAAATCCCCTTTCCTTACACTTCCAAGGATGGAGCGTAGTGTCTGCATTTTGAATTTGCGGTATTTTATGTAGAAATTTAGCCTTTTCAAATCCAAAACGGCTCTCCAACCCCCCGAGGGTTTTGGGACCACGAATAGGATAGAATAAAACCCCTGGTCTCTCTGGTTCATAGGCACCGGCTCTACGGCCCGTATGTTTAGAAGGTGCTGAACGGCCTCGTTCATGAGCCTTCTCTTTGTTGGGTTTGTGGGACAGGGGCACGGGCGGAAGTGGTTCGGGGGCTTTGAGAGAAATTCTAGAGATAGACCATGACGTATGGTGTTCCTGACCCATACGTCCGTGGTGGTCTCTTCCCACTGGGGAGCAAACCCTGCTAGTCTGCCCCCCTATGGGAAGGTCTGGGTGGGAGTCATCTGGTACGGCGGAAGGGGCGGTTGTTCCCCCGAAAGGGCCGTCTTCCCTGCGTTTGCCTATGTCTTGTGTTCTGTCTGTCCCCCTGTCTTTCCCTATCCTGTCTAGCTTGGAAGGGGTGGGAATTTTGAAAGTAGTTGACCCTGGCTTCCGTACGAAAGGATTGTTTCCTTCCCCAGGAGCCGGGTCTCTTGTCCTGCCTTTTAAGCATGTGTTTCAGGACCTTGCGCTTGTCCTTGTTCTCTGTCAGGTATGGCGTTAGTGCCTCACCAAACAGCTTTGCCCCTTGGTACGGAGCCGAAGCCAATTTCCACTTTGGATTTGGTATCCGCCTGCCAGTTCTTTAGCCAGAGGATGCGCCTGCTCGTGTTGTTTGCCGCCATTGCCTTGGCTGAAAACTTGGTCGCTAAAAGTGTTGCGTCCAACGCATATTCCGTGGCCGCTACCATTTTGCTGAGTTCCTGGTGAGTGCGTATATCCTCCATGGGAACCCGGCCCTGTAACTCACGGAGCCAACAAAGTGTGGCTCTGGTGAAAAAGGACGCGGAGGTAGACGCCCTGGTAGCCCAAGCTATTGCCTGGTGCGTTCTCCTGTAGTTGGACTCACTCTTTCGGTCCTCGGCTTTAAGAGCCTCAGCAAAATCTCCTGATATGGCCGTGTCCGATATCAGGGGACCTATGGGTTTGTCCACCACCGGCACCTCCAATGTTCCCTCTAGCTCCCTTGCTACGTTAAATAGCTTCCTCTCCGCATTGCTAGGAAGCGGTAGGGAGGTTGGCGCTGCCCACTGTTTCCTTATTGTGTTTAGGAACATGGTCGGGCATGGTATGCGGTGTTGAGTGTTTACCTTTTCGGCGAACGTCGGCTCAGCCTCCGTGTCAACTGTGACAGGCTCCGCTGGTGTCCCATGCCCCAGATGGGCTGTGGCCTCAGCCTTGCGCCGAATAGTAACAAAAAGAGAAGGGTTAAACAGGCCGCTGAAGGACGGCCCTTGAGGTGAGGTGTCCTCCTCCTCCTCAGACATGTGAATCCCTTGTGACGTACCTGGCTGGTCCAGGTAAGCTTCCTCAGAGACCGACGAGTCTGAGATGGAGGAGAGGTCCTGATGGTCCTCCGTTTCCTCCCGATGCCTCGTTCTAAGTCCTAGAGGCTTGGCTTTTGAAGTTTGAGCCCTGGCCTCAAATGCACGGTCCACTGCCTGTGCTATTAGGGTGGCTAGCAGATCCCCCGTCAATGCAGGAGGAGTGACCATTGCCTGCGACCCCGCAGGTGCTGTGGTTAGCATGGTCCTCGGGGTTTCCTGTAACCTCCGTGGGGAGGGGGATCGGGAGAGCGATGAGAATTCACCTATCCCACCCTCTGTTTGGGACTGTGATGAGTTCCCTAATGACCAAATGGCCCGTGGGGATGAAGGGAGACCCAGCGGTAGATCAGGACCTATCCCCCCAGTCTGCCTATTTTCAATTCTGGCCCTTTTCTGGGCTCTGTCGAACTCTTTTTCTAGGGCTTGGTGTCTTCTGATTGCCTGTTTGTCAGCCTTCTTTGATGACTTCCTTGCAGCCTTTCTAGGGTCTGCAGAGGATTCCGAATCCTCTGAAGCAGGTGCTCCAGAGGATGAAGGCGGGGCTCCAGTGGAGGGAATGATTGCTTCCTCCATTCTCCACTAACGCTGGGCCGTGATAGGGGGGACCCAGGTAGTAGGAGAGCTCCAACTTTGAGTAAGGACAGGCGCACTACTGGGGGCGTCTGGAACTCAGGAGCAGACTCTGCCAAATTGTCAGAGTTAGTCACTGTGCACGGATAAGAACAGGCACGCTAATGGGAATGCCTGGAACCCGGCTTGACTATGGTGGGTAAGGACAGGCACGCGACTGGGGATGCCTGGAACCCACCACTAAATCCCGAAGCGTACGGGCCACTAATGGGGGACCCGAAGTCTGGAAGGAGCCAAAGGCAACTAAACACAGTTAGTTATGAAAGGTTCTTATTTACTTTAGGTAGAAGACACCAAGTACTGGAACCAGTAGCTATGTGTCTGATTTGAATGTCTCTGAATGAATAATAGATGCTTTAGTACCCCAGTACTGCTTGCCTATTAATTCACTCCAGCGGCTAAACCTAGCTTTCTCAGGGAGTCCTTAAATCCCCTGTTTGGACAAAAAATATGGCCGCCGCTGCAAGGAGACTACTGCGCATGTGTTAACAAGGCTGCCTGTGCCACGTGCGGTTGTAACAAAGAGCTGCGCGTGCTTCCAGCTGTGCAGACAATGGCGCCTTGTTTAAAAAATCCTGAGCAGCCTGGAGTGAAAAAGACTGCTCCTTCGCACGCCAGCTGTTTCCCTTAATCAATCTCCCTCCCAGCATGCGTCCCCTTTGTCCTCCGCTTCCCTCGCTAATTGCTTGCCTTTCTGTCTTTTTTGTTTTGTTTGTTTTAAACGCGAGGGGTTGCCCGAGCCCCCCGTTTGTTTAAGGCGGCTACCGGCTGCTGGAAGGTGGCTGGGGTTTGGGTTAGGGAGGGGAGTTAGGGATTTCCCCCTTTTAAGTGGGGGTGGATTCCCCTGTAGGAATCTGACTTCCTGAGTCTTACAATTTAGCAAGGAAATTTTTGAGTAATCAATTAAATTGAATTAAATTATCTCTAATTAACTTTTAAACTAAGCAATTTCAGCTACTAGAAAAAATCCCCCCCAATGGAAAGGAACTATACCTGCCCAGGAGCCAAAGTTGTAGGTCTGTCTGTATGGCCAGATCAGTCAAGACTAAGGATCATGGTCCAGGACGGGGCGTGGCAACTTTGGCTGACTGATCTGATTGGCCAGGAATACAGTCTCAACCCACTGCGTGGATTATCCATCTCCAGTGCTGGAGAATAAGTATTTGGTCACCTACAAACAAGCAAAATTTCTTCTTTAAGAGGGTCCTCTGTCCTCCACTCATTACCTGTATTAATGGCACCTGTTTGAACTTGTTATCAGTATAAAAGACACCTGTCCACAACCTCAAACAGTCACACTCCAAAGTCCACTATGGTGAAGACCAAAGAGCTGTCGAAGGACACCAGAAACAAAATTGTAGACCTGCACCAGGCTGGGAAGACTGAATCTGCAATAGGCAAGCAGCTTGGTGTGAAGAAATCAACTGTGGGAGCAATAATTAGAAAATGGAAGACATACAAGACCACTGATAATCTCCCTCGATCTGGGGCTCCACGCAAGATCTCACCCCGTGGGGTCAACATGATCACAAGAATGGTGAGCAAAAATCCCAGAACTACACGGAGGGACCTAGTGAATGACCTGCAGAGAGCTGGGACCTACGTAACAAAGGCAACCATCAGTAACACACTACGCCGCGAGGGACTCAGATCCTGCAGTGCCAGCACTAACCCCTGCTTAAGCCAGTACATGTCCAGGCCCGTCTGAAGTTTGCTAGAGAGCATTTGGATGATCCAGAAGAGGATTGGGAGAATGTCATATGGTCAGATGAAACCAAAGTAGAACTGTTTGGTAGAAACACAACTCGTCATGTTTGGAGGAGAGACAATGCTGAGTTGCATCCAAAGAACACCATACCTACTGTGAAGCATGGGGGTGGAAACATCATGTTTTGGGGCTGTTTCTCTGCAAAGGGACCAGGACGACTGATCCGTGTACAGGAAAGAATGAATGGGGCCATGTATTGTGAGATTTTGAGTGCAAACCTCCTTCCATCAGCAAGGGCGTTGAAGATGAAACGTGGCTGGGTCTTTCAGCATGACAATGATCCCAAACACACCGCCCAGGCAACAAAGGAGTGGCTTCGTAAGAAGCATTTCAAGGTCCTGGAGTGGCCTAGCCAGTCTCCAGATCTCAACCCCATAGAAAACCTTTGGAGGGAGTTGAAAGTCCGTGTTGCCCAGCGACAGCCCCAAAACATCACTGCTCTAGAGGAGATCTGCATGGAGGAATGGGCCAACATACCAGCAACAGTGTGTGCCAACCTTGTGAAGACTTACAGAAAACGTTTGACCTCTGTCATTGCCAACAAAGGATATATATATATATATATATATATATATATATATATATATATATATATATATATATATGAGATGAACTTTTGATATTGACCACATACTTATTTTCCACCATAATTTGCAAATAAATTCTTTCCAAATCAGACAATGTGATTGTCTGAATTTGTTTTCTCATTTTGTGTCTCATAGGTCTACCTATGATTACAATTACAGGCCTCTCTCATCTTTTTAAGTGGGAGAACTTGCACAATTGGTGGCTGACTAAATACTTTTTTGCCCCACTGTATGTCCTGGAGAGAAGGGAGTGAACTGCCAATAATTTTTTCTGCCATCCTCACCATTTTCTGCACTGTCTTCCTGTCTGAAGCAGTAATGCTTCCAAACCAGGCAGTAATGCAATATGACACAATACTCTTGATCATCCCTCTGTAAAAAGTGGTAAGGACGGGAGAAGGAAGATGTACTTTTCTCATGCAATGCAGAAAATGCAGGCGATTAAGCTCAATTTGATTCAGTAAATCAAGTATTCTATCAATTAATCAAGACTGACTTAACTTTAAAAGTCTGGACAGCCAGCTTGGTATAATAATTAAGTCAAATGGCTAGGAATCAGAAGGCTATGAGTTATAGTCTCACCTTAAACCTAATGACACACCTGATGATCTGAGGCAAATCATTTTTTTCTCCGCCTGAGGAAAGACAATGCAAAACCCCTTCCAAAATTTTGCCAAGTAAGCTGCCAAAACTACAGGTAATCCTCAATTTATGACCACAACTGAGTTCCAAATTTCCTTTGCTAAGAAAGCAATTAAGTGAGTTATGTCTTATGTACATTTTTTGCCACAGTTGTTAAGCAAATTATTGCAGTTATTTAGTGAATGATGCAGTCATTAAAGGAATCTGACTTCCCCCAATGATTTTGCTTGTTGGAAGCCAAAAAAGCTTAAAGTGGTGATCACATGACCCCAGGACAGAGCAACTGTCATAAATACATGCCAGTTGCCAAGCACCCAAATTGTATGAAAAATCACTTTTTTTCAGTGCTGTTGTAACTCTGAACAGTTACTAAACAACTTTAAGCACTACCTGTAGTCCATAAAAATGCCAGGAATCAGTACTGAGTGGAATTAACTAAGTGGAATTAATATATCTTAAATCAGTTTTCTTGTCTTCTTTTATGTCTCCAGCCTTGAATCATAATTCCAGAATATATTCATTTTTATGAGGTATATGCATTGCCAAACCAATTGTCTCACTTTTTGATAACACAAATGCTCATCTTTATACCTACTATATATATATATATATATATATATATATATATATATATATATATATATATATATATATATATATATATATATATGAATTTCCCTTCCCAACAGAAAATGGAACACATGAAGAAACCATAAAATCACCAATACAAGTTTTCCAAACACCTATGTTAAAGAATAAGTCCTCAACTTACAACAATTCATTTAGTGACAATGGCACTGAATAAAATGGCCTATGATTGTTTTATACATTTATAAGTGTTGCAGCATCCCCATAGTCACATGATCAAAATTCAGATGCTTGAAAACTGACTCATATTTATGATGGCTTTTCAGCCTTCTAACAAGCAAAGTCAATGGGGTGTTAAGATTCAATTCATAACCATGTTATTAATTTAACTACAATGATTCATTTAACAACTGTGGCAAGAAAGGTCATAAAATGAGGTAAAAGTCACTTAACAACTGTCTCGCTTAGCAACTGAAATTTTGGGCCCAATTATGGTCATAAGTCAAGGTCTACTTGTATGCATTCTGACCATATACTAGTAGAAACTGCAACAATTACTTATAACATCAGCATTTTTATTGTGAATCATAATTTAAAACTTACCTGTATCTTTATCTCTGGCTTTGTAAACTTGCCCATAGGTGCCTTCTCCAATAATGCCAATGATATCAAACTTATCTACACAACGTTTCCCCCAGTCAATTTCTTTCTGCTTTGTTTCACCATGACGTGGTCCACATATCCTAACCAAACAATTAATAAGATTTTGTTCCACAAGAATATGTTTATATTTGTGTCTACAAAAGTACTTCTCGGTACATTTGTCTATGCAAATATTCCGTTACATATTAAATTATTTTTTTAAAATATCAGTCACTCATATAGTGAATTAGCATTTTATATTCTCCTCCTTGCAGTGCTATACTACAAATCTTATGCAACAATTTCCACCATATCTGGCTGCTTTGGTTTCATGTTTCCTTTAAATCCCCCCCCCCCATGGATGTATTTTTCAAAAGCAGATTATAGTATACTGTGAAGATTACCTATTTCTACAGTTCAAATAAAATAAAGCAGTTTTTTTTACAGGTAAAATAGGGAAATTAAATGATCTGAAATACCAACTAGAAACATTTAAATACACCTAGTTTTTTTAAAATTCAAATACTATTCTTAAATTACTCTATTTCACAACCTGAAATTAATATATAAATCAGAGAACAACAAAGACATAATCTTATTTTAGCATTTAAAACACTATATAATGATGTATCTATGGATTGGTATATTTCTGCCCAAATACTATAATTCTGGATGCAAAACAAAAATGAGAGTACAGAGAATGTATCTATTAAAGAACATAAAAGTCCATTGATAATTTAAAATCTAATTTTTCTACTTGTTCATGCACAAAATACAAAAAGCAATACAATCTTAACAGAATTCTATAGTGAATCAGTTATCAATTCCCTTGAAACAAGAATTTTAAAATGATTTTTGTATTTTATATTTATTATGATCTATATATTAAAAAATAAATACACATACTTCGGTCTCTTTTTATGATGTGATTGCACTAGTATTCTTTTCTCTTCTGGGCTTTGGGATATATCATCTCCTCCAGGTAACTCAGGTGGCAATGGCAAGTCTGCAAGCAAATGGCGTAATTTCTTCTCCACTTCTTTTTTCACTGCTTTTACTGAAATGTTACCTTGCAAACTAGCAAAATAAATATGTTTTTTGTCAGCATAAATGATAAATTTCTAACTAAAACAAAGTATCAGGTTCTAATACATTTTTCCAAAATCATACTTATGTAGACGTAAGTGCTAGACTTTAAAATACAAAAGACCTAGACTTTTGGTAAAATACAAGAGACAGTGAACATCAGTACTAATCCATGTACTTTGTATACATTTCTAAATAGCCATCAAAATGGATTGGTGGAGGGTTTGGCTGCAAATGCTTTTTTAAGCATACATAAGATTAGAAGTTAATGTTAGTATAACAAAAAGTATTTAATTTCATTAAACCCATCTGGCATTTGCAGGTTGACATTGCATCTTTAAAAATTATATTTCATAACTCACCAATCTGTATCTTTATCTTCAGGCAGCATGGGAGGAAGAGGCAAGGGTGGCAGAGTGGAAGTGATTGGCGCAACACTACAGTCTTTCTCTTTAGATGCTGCAGTTAGGATATTAGGTTTATTCTTCTCTTTTACTGCAACAGGTTGTGTTGTTGATTTCACAAGGGTTGTTTTATTTTCTTTTGCTGCTAAAACTTTCGGTTTAGCCACTTTCTCTACAGTCACATTGTTTTTCACTTTAGTTTCCTGAATAGGAACTTTTGTTTTTGTCTTATCATTTTTCAAGGTTGAACTATTTAAAGGAGAAGATATATTTTCTATTTTTATCTTTTTTACTTCCTTTACATTGTTCACTTGTTGTACAGCAATTCCTATGTCAATTCCCTTAGTAGGTGTAGAGGTGTTTGAAACTTTTGCATTGGCTTTAGCTGCCTCTGCTGCCCTGGCTTTTTTGTTTTTGTTCAGCTCAGCCCCCAGGCTGCTTTTTAGAGTCAGAGTACTTGGAGAAATACTGGACTGCCGACTTCTGGATCTTGACAATCTGTGTCTACTACGAGATCGTGAATGTCTTGATGAATAAGGACTTCTGCTTCTGGATTTTGCTGGTTTTCTGCTTATAAAAATAAAGTTTTAGTGAGTAAATATTGTTATAATGCTAAATTACAATGAACAGCTTTTACAGCCATTCCATTAATATTTTTACTGGTTAACTGGCTTTTTTAAATCAAAAAACTTTAATAACAGCAAGAAGTCACTATGTTACCTAACAAATTTAAAATGTGTGTTTATATTTCAGAATATTTCAAGCAAATTTTAACTGTATAAATTTGAATACTTACTGATTCAGAATATCACCCAAAGCTAAGATTTCATCCCCCCAAAAAAACTAAGCTTTGAAATGATTTGTTATTGAAAGATTTAAGATTTAAAATTAAATCTTCATTTTGATATCCAATTAGAACAACTAAGCAGAAGAATGGGGGGGGGGAATAGACAAAGTTAAATAGAAGAAAGTTTGATTTAGATAAGTTAGAAAGGGTGATTTTTACTTTTAAACAACAGATATTAAGTTTGATCTCTGTGGAGAAAGCAAGAGATCTTTTGAAAAAGTTTAAAATAGAATTGGAGGAAATACAAATGAGAGTGACAACTGCAAAAATGACCAGGCAAATGTGATAGTAGATACAAGACATAAAGAGGATTTCAAGTTAGATCGATAGGCATTTACTTTTCTAAAATCTTGGGATGAATTATAAATGTTCAATGTAGAATATAAATGGCAAAATCTCCTCAAAACTGAAAAAAAAATAATCATTAAAAATTTAAAACAAGATGTAATTTGTTTAACAAGAAGTACTTATTTGGGGAAAAATGTAAAATATTTAAGTAAAAAAAATCTGGAATTTTAGCAGAATTGAAAAAAATGTTTTGTATATAAATCTGCAGCTATATCCAAAACTTATACTGACTGTTGATTATGGCACATATGTCATGGTAAACAAATAGATTAAATTTTTGATATTGGAAACTTATGTCCCAAATGACGATAAAACAGCATTTTATAAAGGTCATGGCTAAATTATTGGATTTTACATATGAAAATTGGGGGATCGAAATCGAGTAGTTTTTCCACAAAAAGAACCTTTAAAAAATATTAAAAATACAGAGGGTAAATTAACTCTTTTTTAATGTAATGGATAATTTGGAGCATTTTGATTGCCAGAGATATAAAACAGTTGAAAAGAATATATTTATTTTTATGAAAGACTTTTCAAGAATATATATGATTTGGATTTCTATGATTTGGGTAATAATGTTTATAAATGTAAACATTATCAAATATCTTTTCAAATCACTTTTAAAAAGAAAAATGGATGATCATAGAAAATGTCAGAATGATAAGATTCTGAATACTGGTCCAAAAAAATAAATTATGGATATTTGATAATTATTCCAACATCCAAAGTTCAAAGAAGCAATCATTTTCTTTCTGGTTCTATTGAGGTTTGGGAGAAGCTGAATTTAAAATTGAAGAGATATAAACAATGACAATTCAACTATAAAAATGCATAGGAACCTGAACCAGCTTATCTCCTTGTCAACATTCAGCATCAAGATTATCGCTGGATTGTTAAAGAGGGCTTTACAATAAATGGGCATCTACATTGTTCTATAATACCAATTATGATTAACTGCAGCACAAAGAGTGAGACTATTAAAATATATTTGCTAATGATATATCAACTGTATCATATTGGTAGAAGACATCTTTTGAGTACTAACTAATTCAACTATTAACCACAATTGTTTCTTCTATTGATTGAGGAGGATTTTTTCTTTCTTTGGAATAACTGATTCAAAACTGAAAAGCAATTTAAGAAGTAAAAAAGCAGAAAAGTTGCCCTTCCCATAGGATACTGAAAAAAGATACAAAGTATTCATTAACTATTAACAATATATACCTTACTAGTGCTAACCTGGCTGAAATTGCTTATTTTTAAGAAACAAAAATCAAATGCATATTTTCTATTAATGAACTATTTTACTAATTGTTTGGGATAATTACTCTAAATAATTATCAGTTCCATCTAAAAGCTGGTGATGGACATAGAAAAATGTTTCCAAATGTTCACTCAGTTAATTGAACTGTTGATGGTTATTAATATTTATATAATTGTAACATTAATCTGGAACAAAAGAGACCATGTATGCCTCAACTTACAAACATTCATCTAGTTTGAAGTTACAAAGGTACCGAAAAAAGTTATTTATGATCGTTTTCATACTGTTGCAGCATATATATGGTTGCGTGATCAAAATGTGGATGCTTGGCAGCTGGCATGTATTTATGATGGTTGCACTGTATTAGGGTAATGTAATCAACTTTTGCAATCTTCTTGACAAGGTTGTCTTCAATGGGGAAGAACACATTCACTTAATAACCACATTACTAACAATTACAGTGATTCACTTAACTGTGCAAGAAAGGTGGTAAATTGGGCAAAACTCACTTGTCTTGGTAGCAACAAAAATTTTGGGATCAACTATGGTCATAAATTGAGAACTACCTCAACTTTCTGTACTCTCACAAAATAACTATATGAAAGTGCTGAAAAATATCAGTTCAGATTTTAAATACCAAAAGTGTTATATGTCAAAAGGAAAAATTCTAAAATTTTTCTGATTAGCAATTTAAATCAAATCCACTTTATTTAAGAAATGCTTTTTTGTTAACAAAAATGATCCTATTTGAATTATTTTCAGAATCATTAACAGATTCAAGTGAATTAGAGACTATCATAATACTTCATCAAAACAAGTACTTCGTATTCAGATTTCTCATTGGACACTCAAGAATATCTGCAGAATACCCTTCATCAAATTCAGAAACTGAGACGCTTTTGAACAGGGAAATTTTAGTCATAACTATCTATTCTGTCAAGTCAGCTTGGAATAGCGATTAAGGTTTCTAAAAAAGACACCTTTATATCCCACCTTAGGCACAAAACCAATGACTTTAAACTAGTCAATTTCTCTCAGTCCTAGGATGAAAGCAAATCACTACTGAAAATCCTTGCCAAGAAAACAGCAAGGATTGGTCCACATAGTCTCTAAGAATCAAATACAATTGAATAGAAGAAAAAAACTCATATCCTGTAATAAAATTAAGGTTCAATAACCCCAATATGACCCTTAAAAACCAAAATTTTAGTACTCTGGTCATCTAAAAGTTTCCCTGGCTCCTAGTTTATCCAAACATAATTCAAAGTGCTGCTAACATTTGAAGTAAAACTACTTACAGCATAAAGCAAAACCACATGAAGAAACAACTCCTCCAAATGAAAATTATATATACTAACCTCATTTTATAAGGCCTGTGTCTGTGCACCTGGATCTCAACAAGATAAATTATCAACAAATGAAAATCACTTTTCAACTAAAAAGTGCATTTAAAATATTTAACTGCTACTTTTTATTTTATTTAAATAAGCCACTTCCTTTTTTATTTTCCTAGTTATTGATTAATTGATCATGATTTACAAAGCTTTTGTGGGTTTTTTGTTCATTATATTTTAATTACTATTTAATTTTATATTATTTTATAATAATTTATTTAATTTTATATTATTTATATTATAGCCCTTACAATTTTGTAAGCTATTTATGGAGAAACCTATATTATTGTTGAGAAATAGAGATCTAATTCTCCTTGTAATCAATTATTTTTTATTTTATTTTGTAGTTCTGCTGGGTATCAGCTTACTTATTTTCAATAATTCTGTTTATCTAGTGACAGAGTGTTGCATCATTTGTTTATTTGTTGAAAGCTAATGTGCAGAGTTGCATACAGTTAGGAAATACATACTTTTTCCTAGCAATCCCACTAAACACAACAACATTTACTTTTGAGTATTTTTCCACATACATATACAAACTCAAATGTAGTTAGGAAACAATTCTCAAATCTGTATTTTTAAGTAAAATCAATTGATTAAGTGTAAATACTCTTCAAATATTGATTTTGCTCTAGAGCTTGATTATTTAGAACTCACAATTTCACTTGAAAATTATACCCCAATATGCAAGTTTATAGTATTAGCCAGTAAGTGGGAAGAGATTTAATTGCAATTTTTTTATACCAGAATATCACTGTAAAGGCTGTATTTCCTCAAACACTGCCTAATTCCAAGATAGACTATCCATTTCTAGCTGCAATAGCTAATGCAAGAATCACATATTTTAAAAATGCCCATTTCTAATATCATTGTAATCAATGGTAAAATAGATTGATTGATGCTAAATAACTCAGAATTTTTCTGTTTCAGAAGTTGCCCAATTTTCAAAAATACATTATTTTATGTTCGTCCATCTCACCCCATTTCACTCTCTTATATTTGATTAACCAGCTGGAAGACACACATTATCGGATTATTCTATTTTGAGAGTATAGCCTGAAATAATGCGTTTTTAAAGAAACTTCAACCTTACATTACCTGATGGCTGGACTATAAGGGCTGCGCGAGCGACGTCTGTAAAGACTCGGTGATACATCCCCACCACACTCGAAAGAACTGTGCCGGCTGTAGCTGGGCGACCGACGCCAATAAGGACTAAGAGAAGACCGGGGACTGGGGGACTTGCGGTTCCGTTGGCTTTGTGAAGCTCTGTGGCTAGTTGGGCTGCCATCTCGATAAGGACTAGGGGACGATCGTTGCCGCCTGTAGGCCCTGGGTTCTGTCTTATCCTCCCGGTAGGCTTTAGGCGGTTCCTTGTAAGCGGAGGGAGGCTCTTTGCCTGCTTTCGTCCGGTTCCGGTGGCTTTTAGTTTCCCGGTCTTTCCGACTGCTACTAGGCGACGCAGCTGAGCCCTTCCTGCGGCCGTCGCTGCCGCCGCCGCCGCCGCCCCGGGAGCCATCCCGGTCCTGGCCACCGCTGTGATTGTGGCGGCTGCGAGACTTGGATGAAGAAGAGGAGGCCTCACCTCCCCCCCTGGCAGCCGCAGCCGCGGCCACCCCCTCCTGCTGTAACGGCGCCTTGTCCTTGTCCACCCCCCGCCTGTGGTGTTCCCGGTGCCGCTCCCGAGAGCGACGCCCACTGTTGCTGCGGTGTTCCCTGCGCGGCCGCCGGATGCTCCGATCCGCCTCACCGCGGCTTGAGCGTGGTTGGTTGCCCCCACCGCCACCGGAGGACGCCGGACTCCCGCCGCCGCTCCCTACCCCAGCCGTCCCGCCTCCCACTGGTCCCTCCGACTGGGAGCTTACGTCGTCGTATTCTTCGGCCGTCCCCTCCACTAGTGGCCCCAATCCCGCCCCAATCCCGCGCCGCTCCGAGGCTGCGAGGGCCGCCCCTGAGTTACCTCCACCTGCACCCCCTGATCTGCCGCGCCGCCGTTTGGACCGAGTCCCCGATCGCCGCTTGCCTCGCGGTCGCTTCCGCTCCCCCCCTTCCCCACAGCAGGAGGAGGCGGCGCCGCCAGTGGCCGCCAGGAACAGCAGAGACTGCGGCGGCAGCGGCGGCTGCAGGAGCGAGGGCTGCAGCAGCGGGAACAGCAGCGAAGGTGCCGGCGGGCCCGCCACAGGTGACGGAGGCAACGGGGGAGGCTGCTGCGCCGAAGCGTAGCGCTTCCGCCTCCGGTGATGCAAACGCTTTTTTTCTGCCGCTGGCGATTCGGAACCGCCGGCCCAGGCCCGAATACCGCTCCCGCCTCCGGACGTCGCCGCCTCTGAGGTACTCGGCATCGGGATCTCTCTCCGGCAAACAAGAATCCGTCAAGGCGCCCAAGAGGTGGAGGAGAAAGAAGCAATCGCCATTGGGGCCCTTTGCCAGGTTCGGCTCCGTAGGACGAGTCTCTCCTGCCGTCCTCTGTCTCCTCACATAGAAGGACAGACAGTTCCTTAGGCTGGAACCGTCAGCTGTAGCTTCCACGAGCTCCTAAAACCAGGGATGGTGGCTGCCTCTTCGCCTGACACAAACCGGTCCCATGTTCCCGGCTGGGCCCTGAGTTAGGCCTGCGCGCCTCCCTCTCGGTGCTTATGCCCAAACGGTCCCTCGAGGCCGTGCCCGAACGCTTCGTGTCCCACCGCTCCTTCTGCTGCCTCCGGTTCGTTGGTTCGCTCCGTATCCGGGAGAACGAATAAGGGATGAGAAAGAGCAATTGCCAAATAGTCTCCGTCGTCCTCTGCGTTCGCTTCTCTCTCACTCGCGCACACACAGAAAGAGACAGAAGGGAGACGGCCGGCGCAGCCAGTACAACTGCGCGTGCGCCACTGCGCTGAAGTAAGAAGCAATGAACCTATCTCTAAGCTGGAGAGTTCGGTTTGTTCCTTTTCCAAACGTAATCAACAAGAACTCGCGAGACTGTCTTTCTCACGTCCCTCTATACCGGAACATTCGACAGGCAACTTCCCGAACGTGTCCTTGTTTCTCTAGATCAGAGGTACAACAATCCTAGGTGGTAATCTCGCGAGTCTTCCGGTTTTGCATTGATAGCAATTCAATATTTCATGTGCGGAGAAGAGAGGCGGTATTATATGGATTGAGCCATTCATATCAAATGAAGACATTTCTTGTTGTAAAGTTTGATAGTTAAAGGAAACTGAATGGGAATGAATGTTAATGCCATTCTTATTTTATTATTTCTTTGCTGTATTAAGTAGCAGCTTAGACGACCTTGTCCTCGAGAAAGCTTCTACTTTAATTGGAACAGTAAAATTTGGCGTACGGATCAGTAGAATTTGGGAGGGAGAGCCAGTTTGTTTAAGACTTCAGACTATAAACCAGTTGATTGTGAGCTCCAGGAAACTGAGCGGTAGTCCTGGTTTAGGCATAAAAATGCTCGTTCTCAGTCTAGGACGTCAGACTCGGGGACAAGCAAGTCGGTTAATTCCTACCGCAACCAAGGGTTCAACATTCGGTTGATGGGGGGGGAGCGAAGCCTGTTTCTGCAAAAAAAAACGGTAGGGAAGGGGGAAAGTGTAATTGGGAGACAGCGGCGGAGATTTTTAATTTGCTTTAAATCAGCCTCTCTCCAACCCAAATGGAAAATGGCAGAGTTAAAAATATTCATTGTTAATAGAGAGCTATGCATACTACATACTTAGACATAAGACCAAGGACTTAGATGTTCAGCAGAGTGATGGCACGAGGGAAAGAACTGTCTGTGTCTAGTTCTTTTGGTATGCAATGCTCTGCAGCAGTGTCCTGAGGTAAGGAGTTGAAACAGTTTATATGTCCAGGATGTGCGGGATCAACAGATATTTTCTCAGCCCTGACCCGGTATGTCATCAATGAAAAGCAGACTGGTTGCAATTGTTTTTTTCTGCAGTTTAATTATAAGTTGAAGTCTGTACCTGTCCTGTTTGGTTGCTATATCAAACCACTTACAGAAGTACAAGTGACAGACTTAATAATTTCTCTGTAGGGCTAAACTATTGGAATTAAACTTTTTGGGGATTACCTATAAGGATTAAATGTTGCTGTATTTTGAAATGTTAAATACAAATGTTTATCTAATTTAAATTAATTTAATTAATCTAATTTAAATTCTTCACTGACTGGAGGCTGACTTCTAGCACCAGCAAACAGTAACTATATGCCTCCACCTTAACAACAAACTAGCATATAAAGCCCCAAAGATCTGCTTAAACAACAATTTATTCCCCTATAATCCTCATCCAAAGTACCATGGAGTAACATTGGACAGGACTCTCTCTGGTAAGATACACCTAGAGAACATGGCATCAAAAATCAGTACTAGGAACAACTACTCCAGAAACTTTGTGGAATTAAATGGGAAGTTACAGCTCCCACCCTCAGTTCATCAGCACTAAGGTTAGTCTGCTGCCCTGTATGACTTAAACAGCTGCCATACCAGTAAGTTACCAAACCTGGCACTCTTTGGGCCCAGGCGGGCGCTGTACCTCTCATACCAGCTGGGCGCTTTTGGCCTCTACTGGCTGCTCCCACCAGATCACCTTCCACCTGGCCAACGGCTACCACCGCCGCCAACATGAAATAAAGAGGCGAAGTAGGTGGTAGGGGTTGGAGTTGCTTTCCTCCGCCTGCTGGACACCTGCCAAAGCCACGCAGGGTAAGGTTGCCACGCCCCCTCACTCAGATGCCCTCGCCTCCCCAAGCGTTATTTTACTAACTTGCCTTTCAGCTGCATTGCATTTCTCCATTCACTTCTCAGCTTTTGACGCATGTTTGTGGGACAAAAAAAAAAGTTCAATCAGACTTTCTAACTGTTCGCAAGATCTCAAGAAGTTAGAAAGTCTGATTGAACTTTTTTTTTTTTTTTGCTCTGGCAGTCACATGAAAGATCTGGGCCGACTCGCCCTATGCCAGGCAGGAGCAGCCCAGCAGGGCAGTCCAGAGCAACACAGCCAGGAGGGCAAAGGTGAGGCCAGCAGCATGGGCAGCTACTTGGCACTACATGGCACCCGTCGCGGCCGAGAAATATCCCAGCAGCAGTAGGGCCAGCAGGCAGAGGCCAGGGCTCACCGAAGGTTTGGTTTATTGTGGCTGCAAGCAAGTAAGTGGTGGGACGGAGAGGGCAGGCTGGCAGTAGTCGGTTCCACCAGTGGCCGCTGGCGAAAGGCCCTGGCAGGCCGGTGGGAGGGGTGCTCCAGTGGCTGCATGGAAGATCTGGGCCGACTTACCCTGCCCTGCACTAGGGCTTACTTTCAGGGGAGGCCCACCCCCCCAAAATCAGCTGGGGTTTACTTTTTGAGTAGGGTTTACTTTCAGGGAAACACGGTAGCACCACCAGATTTATGAAGGCAAGCTGCACTAGTGAGAGAACAGAAAATTATGAACAACTCACTCCTACTGGTACATGCCGATTTTTCTCATTTATCAGGTTGAAGACTCAAATTCAGGAAACCGCCACAGGCACCTGTGTAATATCTTCCCTACAACTTTAACATCAATTCACAATGGAAAGCCAAATGAGTTGCTGAATGCCCAGATATAGAAAGATATAAATGACCCCACCTCAGCAATGGAAAATAATGAATAAAATTTACATCGCTGTATAAATGGGGCATAGTATCTTCCCCTCAGTGTGACTGTGGAGTCCCATGTCAAACTGTAGATCACATTGTGACCAGCTATAAGCTGAGGGCATACATTGGTCCAGAATCTGATTTTTTTAAAAAATATAAATGATGGCACGCTTTAATGATTAGATAGCCTAAGCATTGGTATTTGAACATGGATCTTTTTAACATTTATATTTCATTTATTTTACTAATCTAGGTGAAATGTTTATATTGCTAGTCCATGTATGATATGCCATATGTTAAATAAATCTAATTTAAAATTATGTTCCGTGGTAAGTTGCTTGGTATGGATGCAGTAAAAGATAACTTGATAAAAAAGAGATTACCAATAACAGAATAATTGTAGCTCAGAGTTGAAATGAGGGGTCATTGATGCTCTGTGAGCTTGGTTGTTTTCTTGCAGATTTTCATTACCCAAATTAGGTAACCTCATCAGTGCTAGTGGTGCTATCAATAGCACTGATGATGTCACCTAATTTAGGTAATGAAATGTCTGTAAAAAAATAACCAAGCTCAGAGAGTAACAAGACCCCTCAAAATAGAATTTATTGGAACTAGAAGTCATCGCCTGAATTTTGGATGACACAGCTATTTATGATATGATAAAGTTTAGTTTAATATAGATTTTAATAATTAGTTTTTTAGACACACCATATTGTGAGTTTGGGATAAATGTAATTAAAAATCCAAAAGCTCTTCTGTGGTTCTCACCAGGGGAGGTTTTCTTTAAAAGAGAAATGATAGTTAAATCACTTGCTTGACTTATATCAAGCTACTAACATTTGTTGAACGAGAATCTGCCTTAAAAACGAGAAAATCTGAAGCAGGAAGATTTTATGAATCAATGGTTCACTTATGCTAACTGTTTGAAAGACAGTTCTTTTACACATGAAAGAACTGATTTTGAGATTGATCTATGTACCAACATTGAACAATGGTACATTGCTAAAATATATAAAATCGCTTATTGAAGATGAATATAGATCAGACATGTCAAACCCAAGGCCTGGGGGACGGATGCGGCCTGCAAAGTGGTTTCATGTGGCCCACAAAGCCATCCTGGAAACAGTGAGGGAACGGCCCCCTCTGCCTTGGCCCTGACCCAGGCCAGCCGGGAGCCAATGTACAATTTTGTGGTGGCCATTTATGCTGAAACGCATTCAGTCTTAGCTCCATAAGCCCCCCCCCTCCGCATGATCTGAGAGGAACACTGAGGCTTCTCCAGTGGACCATGCCTTGGCATTTGCCGTGGTCCCATCCCCTTCTGCCAGAGACCCTCAGATCTGTCCCACTCCTGCCTAGGCTCCCACAGGCACCCTTGATGTGAACGATATAAAGCTGGCCACACCCACCCAGTAGACCACATCCATTCCATCCACGCCCACCCAGTAGGCTGCACCCATCCTGGCTGCACCCACCCTGGCCACACCCACCCGCCCCCCTGAGGGCAACCGCAATGCTGATGCGGCCCTCAATGAAATTGAGTTTGATACCCCTGTGGTTATCACAGGTGTTATCACTCGCCAATATCTAAGTTTAGTTATCTGTCTAGACAATTACAGTGGAGCACAGAAACCTGTATGTAGAGATCTAACTAAATAGGCTCTGTTTAAGCAATAGTTAGCTAGTTTATGCAAAATGTGTTTGTCAAATCTAGGCAGTTAATTCAGTTCAGTAAACCCATTTGTTTGGTTAGCAAGCAAATATGATCGTGATTATAATATTCAATATTAGCATATCATAAAATGTAGCTTCATTTATACAGATGCATAAATCCAATATATGAAGATTACTCATATTACTGGAAAATGTTAAACAGTACAAATCTTGCTGCCTCTGCATAACATAGAGATCCATTTGTGTACATAACTTATAAAAGGGGAGGGAATTATTGTTAACATCTTATTGGAGTAATTATCCGGACCCTACCCAAGAATAGAAATTCCAGAATTAAGTATGTAATCTGGATGGATTAGTGGGTGGGTGGATGGATGGATCAACAGACAGACATTTACCAGTTGTTTTATGACCATTCAGAGTTTTGATGGCCTCACAAGTGCTTTATGACAAAGCAGTTCAGGCTCTTACTGAATGTCTTCTCCACTTCCCCAGTCATATAACTACATTTCTGGTGGTTGGCACTCAGTTTGCCTTTACAACCCTTTGCAGCATCCTGCAGCTCCATAAAGGTGATTTGCAACTTTTTTGCTGGTTTGCAGCAAAAAATGTCCACGTGGAACATTTACAACTGCAGTGACTTATAACCAGATTTCTAGTTCTAATTGTGGTCATAAATTGAGGATTATCTATACATGCTTCATTGAACGTTTCCTTTCTATCACTTTTAACCATCATTTTTTTTCAAGTTATCATCAAATGTTTTTAGAATTCTTCAGAAGGTGAAATCCTGTCTAAAAATAATTTCCTAAAGGAGTACAACAAATAGAAAGATAGAATCCTTGGATTTTGATACTTTTTCAGTGTTGTTATTCTAGTTAACACTGCAAGTTGCAATCCAGTGCAATGGGCCTCTCCCTAAGACATACAGGATTGCATAAATTTCTAAAAGAGAAATTCAAAACTAGCAAATGAAATTGGGGATGTCAGTGAGTTGTTAGATACGGGAAATTTTAAAGCGATGTAGCATGTGTTGTCATACTAAACTGGAATAAAGAAATAATTCATAATAGTTTTTGCTGCACCCGTGCATCAAAAATAAAAGGTGTAGGAGGGTAAAGCAAAACAAAAAACAAAAACCAACCTCTTCCACAATAGAGAATCAAGAGTTTGGTCAAAATCCCTTGTTCTTTTAGATTCATATGTATATAACAGTGACCATACGAACAGCCAAATGGTGAAAACGAAGAATGGGTGTGGGATTAAAAAATACATTATAATGAAAGGTTTTTTTAATGTCTTTTGCATTAAAATTGGATACTGGATGAGCAGTTACTGGATACATACATTGTCCCCCTCCGAACTCCTGGGCATCTTGCTCTATTTAACATTTCATGGCCTGCGAAGCCATTTCCCATATCATACTAACTGTTCCTCAAGGCTGTGGATAAGGAAAGCACTGTGCTGGAACAAATTCTTTGTATGTTAAAAGTGATGATCCAAACTCTACGTATGCAAGCTCTGGATATACAAACTCAAACTATGACTTCAATCAAAGAATTATCTATACAGAATTCTATAGAGAAAGTGAAACAACCAAATGTTATGACAGAAGACTTAGATATTCAACAAATACAGACAATAGAAAACACAAAAAAGAAATTGATAATAGAGAACAAGGAAAGGGCATTTCTTATAAACCAGAAGGAATTTGAAGATAAACAAGAAAAACAGATGAAAGAGAAAATAAATACTTCGGGACAACTGCATCGAACTGGAAAAATAAAGAGACTACCGGCTAAATCAACTAGTCCTCTTAAGAAAACATCAACTGGACGTTCTTATGAACATCAAACAATAGCCACAACAATACAAGGAGATTTTTTTGATGATTTCAAGGCAAAAATACGAAAAATAACCTGGCAGAGGAAAAAAGCTAGAATAAGATTGAAAAAGATTGGGGTTTTGATCTATATATGAGATCTAAAATAGAATATATCTAGATAGAATATGTATTCTGAACACAAGACATTGTAATGATTTGAGATAAAGAAAATTTTGGTCATATAAAATCTAGAAATATATTGAAATAAGAATTTTATATTGTCATTAGATGGGTAAGATAGATGGTAGAATTGATATATAAGGTGTGTATTTTAAATATTAGAATGTATGAGCAATTTTGATAAAGGAATTGTGTTTAATTAAAAATTTGGAAAAATTAAATATTAAATGTAATTTGAATGTCTACAAATAATTAAGATTTGAATTTAAGATATTGTTATGAGTTGAGATAAAGGTTAAGTAAAACTTAAAAGTATAAGTACTAATAATTAAATTTGTATATGGGTTTTTGGTATACATGTTGGTGGTTTATTTTTAATTTTTTTTTCTCTTTCTGGAAAGTAAGAAAGGAAGGAAGTGAAAAGAAGAAAAAAAATTTATTAGCTCCAAATGTGAGATAAGAGACTTAGAAATTGGGATCATTTAAAACCTGGAAATGATAAAGATTAAACATTAAACTTAAATATCAATGGCAAATTAAAGTTAA